AAAGATTTTCCTAACACTCGCGCGGATTTCAGTCAGCACGACACTTGATGAAATATACTATTTAAAGATCAGACGTCAATTTTCACCCAAAACATCATGTAGCCATTTATATCCCGCTGGAAATCCTTGCCGTTTTGGTTAGCAGATGGAAGATGATACATTTTAGTGTCCGTGTGATGCTGAGCAGTCCAGAGGCTGTTTTCTCCTCGCGCTCGAGTTTGGACAGAATTCATTGCGCGCTCCCGCCTTCACAGTGATAGGGGAGGGATTGTGAACGCGCAGCCTCTCCCTACAATTCCGCATTGAAGCCACGGGGACTTAGCAGCCGAGATGAAGGTTATTCATAATTTAGATACAGAAGATCATTTATATCACATGACCTGTGCCCTTTGTCTTTTCGAAAGGATTTGCATTAGTGAAGTTTCGAAGTTTTACAAATAATCTTGAAAAGTGCAGAAAACAATCTCAGAATTTGTTTTTATAGAAACGTAAATCTATATAAAACAGATAAACGGAAACACTAAAACGATCCTGTATGAAAGACATATATTTACAATTGTTTATTTCCACAATAGCCTGTATATTACCAGCATCACTTCAGTTCTTATACAACCTTAACATTTTTAAAAGGACATTGAAATCATTTGTTTTCTGCTCTGAATGAGTCTGTGACCATCAAAACAAGTGAACTGAGCTGCAGAATCGATTTGCTTTTCAGTGAAAGTTGCTTCGTTTGTTGCAAGATCTTTCAAGATCAGGAGACCATCACCCTTACAAAACGCCTCGAAATGGCGTGGTAGTGTGAAAATGAACTTGGCTAAACAAACCGAATAGCCCACTGGTTATGAATTCTATACGTAGACGGATTGCGATTGGGATTTCCGAAGCTTTTTATTTGCTGCTATCTAGTGGTCATTTTAGGGGAGAGCGTAAAGTAACAGCTATTTTCTCAAAGCCGAAAACATTTGCTTTTCAAGCAATAACTGCACATTCGACATGCAAGCTTTAGTGAAGCTGTCAAATATTATGTAATTTCATCACTGTGTCCCGCGGTAATGAATCGGGTTAAAACGGCAAGATATTAGTCTGACGGTGAACAAACTTCAGGATATTTCCGACCAATCAATAAACATTCAAAATGACGGGTCTGTTTAATAAGCATATCATGCATTTACTCTGATAAACTGATAAGCAATTGCTCAAACGACATAGTTTGTTTGTTATTTTGAAATGAAAACGAAAGAAGAATTCATTGTCCCTTTTTTGGTAACTTGTTTTAACATCCTAAAATCAAAATTAGGCTATTAAAAGCTGTGATTAATAACATTTCATTGTTACAGAATGAGATGTAGCCAGGGTGAGTGACACAGAAACGTCAAAAGTACACCGCTGTTCCGTTAGAAGAACTGCCCGCTTTTTCGAATTTGACACGTCTGAACTTCTAAACAAGAACGCACTTTCGAACAATGAGAAATGGCAGAGGTTTTAGGTTTCTTTCAAGCTCCAGGTTGGAATTTTAGGGTGGACCAAGTGCCATTCCAGGTATATTATATTTGTTAAAGGTAATAAAATAATGTGTACAATTTTAAAAGTAATGTATTTATCATTTTAAACGGACTTTGTGTCATTTTAATAAAAGCAAACACACTTTTATAACTAACTTTCATTTTAGACTATTTGTACTGCAGACCATAATTATATCAGTGCTTGCTTAAGTAAGTGTGTAAGAGAGAGATATTTGCCAAGTTTTGCGAGAAAACTGCATTTTAGCCAGAAAAATAAACATGTTGCTGTTAATAAAATATATGGGTGATTCTATAATTGCAGGCACGTTAGTGTCCAAAGACATACTTTTTCAGCTTTTAAAGAACATTGTTACATTTTTGATTACTTATAAAATGTGTTTATCATTTTTATGGAACACATACGTCATACCTATACAATATTCTTTGTAAAAGTTTCTTAAATGACAAAAAATCATGATTTATTGATGTTGTAATTAGTCAGTGTTTTCCATCATGTATCATTGTGCAATCAAAATAGTTTATTTAGATTAAAAGAATAATTTCACCAAAATTTTAATTTACATTTTTATTTGTAAACTGTCAATACTGTTACCACAATTTCAAATAGAAAACTGAATATTTCATTAATCACAAACTGGACAATTTAAACATGTTTTATTCCTAATTTCATTAGTGTCATGTGGTCTTATAGCAAGAAGAATGTTTGGCTAAAAAGTTGTGAAATTGTAAATTGTTACTGTCAATTCAATAACTACCCATAAAGATTTTTCTTACTATGATTCATTGTTATTTTTAATTTTTTTTGTAAATTTTACACATTTACATCCATAACAGAGTTGACAAAAATAAAAATAAAAACTTTTAATCCCTAAAAGTCAAACATTTCATCATTTATGTTTGGCAAAAGCTGAATTATAAAAATTAAATATGCTTTCAATAAGATACTGGAAATAATTGCTGTTTTTAAAGAGTTGTATTCCTTTACTTTTTGAAATGTCAAATATACTTGCAATAGAATCACCCATATTGCTTTAAATGCATTTAATAATGTTTACAACAACTGTAGTGGTCACGACACTGGAATTTCCAACTTCGAGATGATACCTTGAAAAAATATCAACATTTGATATAATTTTCTATATTTTATGATAAAAAACGTATTATTATTATTATTATTATTATTATTATTATTTTTATTATTATTATGCTATTATATGCACCAGCGTCAATATATGGAATGTAAATGTAGTATTTATTAATAATATAAACAAATTTTTAAATGGCACATCTTTGCATATTAGCCTGCTTGTTAGTGGTAAATAGCTACATTACCATTTTTAACTTATATTATAACACAACCGCTTTGCATGAGCTGTACCTCGCTGTGCCTACTGTATCAGCTCTACAGTGGGTTACCTAAAGAGGCTCTGTTAGTTTCGCTAGAAAATAAATACAACAGTGTCATAGCGACATCTTGTGGGCAAAACCCTGCCCTTCTCTCTCTGTCTCTCTCTCACACACACACACACACACATATATATATATATATTACTAGTAAAAAATTTGATATATTTAATTTATTAATTATTTTTCTAGGCTCAGTCCCTTCACCAATCTGGGGTCGCCACAGCGTTATAAACCGCCAACTAATTTCAGCATATATTTTACACAGCAGATGCCCTTCAAGCTGCAACCAACCACTTGGAAACATCCATACACACTCATTCACAAAGATACACTTTTACCACGTCTTAGGAATGATGGGGAAAACGAAATACCTTAAAAAACCCACGGCAACATGGGGAGAACATACAAACTCCACACAGAAATGCCAACTGAATCAGTCATGACTCAAACCAGCGAACTTCTTCCGGTGAGACGACAGTGCTAACTACAGAGCCACCATGTCACCTCATAGCATTTATTAAATGTAAAAAAAAAATAAACTGCTTTCTAATTGTGTGTAAATTGTTAAATTAAATGACAAACTACTACATATAATTTGTAGTAGATATAAATATTTAATTTATTGGATTTATTTATTACATTATGTGTAATTCAGTGATCTTGAAACATTTGATTAATGTGCCATAAAAACACAGTAAAACCAGTGACAAAATAGAATCACCTCAAGAAACACAATAATTACCCAGAAGAAAAGTAACTTAAGGACAAAGCCGAATGAAAAAACTATGTGTGTGTGTGTGTGTGTGTGTGTGTGTGTGTGTGTGTATGTATGTATATATATATATATATATATATATATATATTTATTTATATATATATATATATTTATATATTTATTTATATATATATATATATATATCCCTAATTTCTGTTTAATGGAGAGATTTTTTTAGCACATTTCTAATCATAATAGTTTTAATAATTCATTTCTAATAACTGAATTACTTTATCTTTGCCATGATGACAGTAAATAATATTAGACTAGATATTTTTCAAGACACTTCTATACAGCTTAAAGTGACTTTAAATGGCTTAACTAGGTTAATTAGGTTAACTAGGCAGGTTAGGGTAAAGGCAAGTTATTGTATAACGATGGTTTGTTCTGTAGACTATCGAGAAAAAAAAAATATATAGCTTAACGGGACTAATAATTTTGTCCTTAGAATGGTTTTTAAAAAATTAAAAACTGCGTTTATTCTAGCTGAAATAAAACAAATAAGACTTTCTCCAGAAGAAAAAATATTATCGGACATACTGTGAAAATTTCCTTGCTCTGTTAAACATCATTTGGGAAATATTTAAAAAGAATAAAAAAGTAAAGGGGGCTGATAATTCTGAATTTTACTGTATATATTTGTGTGTGTTATTATTATTATTGTTGTTGTTGTTTTTGTTGTTGCAGTTGTTGTTGTTTTTGTGGTTAATTACATACATTTTAAATAACACATACTTTGATTTCCATACACTTTCTACTGTAAGGTTGGAAATTTATTTTCTTCACCATAAAAATATAAATAGTAAATTTATAACTATAAACTTCACAGATTTAATAAACTTCACAGACACAACACATTTAAAATTTAAATATATTTTGGCCAGGGAAATATATCTTTTTTATTGTTTGGAATCATAATAAAGTAGACAGAAAAAAAGGATTCATTGGCTTTACAATTTTTTAAGGTAGCCTAAGTAGTTGCAAATAATTTATAAGGGCTAAACTTAAATGAACAAATTAAATGTTCAACTTATCTTTTTTTTTTATTTATTTAGTTTGCAAGTACTTCCCATCAAAAAAAAAATGGTAAAATATCTCTTTTTTTCAGTGGACTGGAAATTATATATATATATATATATATATATATATATATATATATATATATATATATATATATATATATATATATATATATATATTTTTTTTTTTTTTTACCATTTTGACGGTAAATGTTTTGAAGTCTTCTGGTAACAACTTAGTAAAAGGCAGTAAAATGACTGCATGAGTCAGCGACCTCTGACCGGCGCTGATCCTCCAGTTGCACCATCCGCCACAACTGACTGACAGGACGGGCAGACACATAGCAAGACGACCAACGGACTGAAAACACCGCCTGTTCACCATGGAAAGAAAAGTGGCCAGGGAATTTCGGCATAAGGTCAGCGTTTAAATATGTTGTCACTTCAATATGTATGGTAAATTAGCATCATGTTATCATTGCCCTAGCTTCGTAGTCTCTGCTCAGGAATGAATGAAAAGTTCGCGTTTTAACGGTGGCTTCGATTAATGTATTCAAAATTGCTGCTTCCGACAACAAAATGTTTGTTGTTTCATAATAAGTACAGCTTTATTTTCATATAAACTGTCGTTATTCGATCTATAAAGTTTGTTTTGTACTCAATAGGTGTCCATAGCATCATACAGTAGATTATGTCAGCTTTAGTGTCGTGCTTTATATCGTTTTACCAATGACTGTTCCTACTTACAATTTCGACGTTATTACATGTTTAGTCCCATTATTTTGCTTTATTTAAGCAACGTGCAGATAATAGCGTAGGTAGGTAAATGTACAGGTAGAAAGGTAAGGTGAACTATGACGCCATATAGCATGAGCCTTCTGATTGGCTGAAAAGGTGAAATGTTTACTAGCCGTTGTGCTAAAAATAAGGACATATCCGCACGACAGATATCATTATTATGTTTTATGTCTCCTAAATGTGAGGGTATAGTTATTAATAAATGTATAATTAGCATTTTATTTGTAATACTTGTGTTTTTGTAACACTATACAGAGACGTCCCATGTGAACTGGGTGTAATTGTAGAGTCGTACCATCTGTTGTGATGAATGAAGACTCCATAGTTTTTTTCCCTCTCAGAATTAGATGGCTGAAGTGTGTGGTCATCCAGAAATGATTGCTGTGTTTATTGTTCAGCCTGTTTTATTGCCTGTAGATGGGGGAGGAAAACTGCCACGCTATAAAATTAAAAGCTTTGCATTTAATTTCTGGTTTCTCGTTTATGGCTAATTCATTATGTTGTTAGATGACCTTTAAATTCATTTATTCATTTGACTTTTAATAAACCCCTGCAGAAATAAAGCTGGATTCAGTTATGGACTTCTGCTTTCTGCGTCAGTTTATGATGTTGAAGTCCAAAGGTAAACTGTCATTTAAGGTTGTCAGAATGTTTATGACACCTTATATAGCCTTTGAGCACATCGTCACAGTTTTAATACATTTGGCCTGATGTATTGATTTACAGTTGTTTGGATGTGTTTTTTTAATTGTTTATTAGCCCCCTATAATTTTTTTTTTTCTTTTTTAAATATTTCCCAAATGGTGTTTAACAGAGCAAGGAAATTTTTACGATGTGTCTGATAATATTTTTTTCTTTTAGAGAAAATCTTATTTGTTTTATTTCAGCAAGAATAAAAGTAGTTTTTAATTTTTTTAAACACCATTTAAGGACAAAATTATGAGCCCCTTTAAGATAGTTTGCTTTTCGATAGTCTACAGAACAAACCATCATTATACCATCATTAACCATCATTATACAATAACTTGCCTAATTACCCTAACCCGCCTAGTTAACCTAATTATCTAGTTAAGCCTTTAAATGTCACTTTAAGCTGTTTACTCTACTTGAACCAAGGCTGTTAAAGTAAGCCAAAAGATTATTTTTGTTAACTGAAATAAAAAAGATCACAATAAAAAAAGAAAAATGAAATCTAAAAAAATAAATTGTCACATTGAAATTATAAGGTTTAATCTGCGTTCTGAATGATTTTGAGATATTGAGCGTCAAAGTTTTTGCATTCCTTATAGCAAACAGTATGTGTGTAACATGACTTTTTTTAATAAAAATTCTTAAAATGTAAACAACTTATAAAACACATCCCAAAATGTAAATAAGATGTCATTTTATAAGAATGTCAATAACCCAATTTTGACAAAAAAGTCAGATAGAACCTTATAATTCTAAGATGGCGAAATGTTTTTCAGAATTCATAAGCACTCATTCTGTGACAGAAAATATGACCTGCATCGGTTTAGACAAATAACAGCAGATTACAGCCATGAATTTTATATAAAAATATATTTTATAAATCTAAAACACGTGTTCTAACTTTTTTTAATTGCCCAAAAATGTCAACTAGGCATGTTTACACATACAGTATGGTCCTTAATATGAAGACAACTTAATTCTTCAAAAGTTTTACTTTTATTCATTGCATTTGTATAGTTTTGAATTCAGTGTTTGTAAAATAAACACTGAATATCACAAAGATTATTGCACAAGAATTAATGTGAACACTAATACTTTGCTTTGGTCAACACTGGACATCTGTTAACGGTGCTAAATGACTAAAATTAAAATTAAATTGAAGAAATAATCAGCTGAATAAAAAGAAACTGTCAAATATTCAATAGTGTGGAAAATTCACTGTTACAACTTATTAACTTTTAGTCTTATTTTCAATAAATGACTCAGTTATTCACTCATAAAACTTCATGTTTCATTGCTAGATGTGTCATTTTTGAAGAATTTTTTAGCGGCATATTTTTGACGACTTGTTGTCGACACCTATTGGTTTAATAATGTAATTGCTACCTAAAACTTTTATTTTTAAGCATCAAATTAAATATGTAAAGTCTAGATCTGATACACGGCCGGCTGGAAGTGCGATATGCACATTAATATAGCAGCATTTTTTTATGACACTGTATAACAATAATTAATATTTTAACAGTACTGTAACAGTTGGGTTTAGGGTTGGTGTTAAAAAATACAATTTATTTGGTAAATGAATAGATAGCATAAATAATTCTCGATACAACTAATGTTTTTACGTTACTGTGATGGTTGGGTTTAGGCTTGGTGTGGGGTTAGGCATTAATAAAATACAACAAATGTGAAATGTAATAAATAATACAAATAATTCGCATTAACTTCTGGCCGCAACCATATCCGATCCAACCTATAAAATGCATATGATGGTGATTTTAATCTTTATCATAAACATCAGTGTTTATAGCTAAACCTCTGTGTTATTTGACAGTTTGTAGCTTCATAACTAAGTCAAAAGACTAAAGATTAAGGGCCCTATAATACACACGGCACAATAAAGTGCAAGACGTGTTCCTGTGACATCTTGCTATTTTCAAACCATAATTTTCTCATTTTCCGCCGTGTTGTATAAATAGCAAATCCATTTGTGCCACTTTGTGGACCCATGGGTGGTTCAGTCTTTAAAAGGTGTGCTAAGGTGCATTGTTGGCGCGTTGCTATATATCGAGGAACTAAAATAGACTGCACAATAGCTAAGAGCAGGTCTAAAGCCCAGCGCAGAGCGCATTAGTTGTGAGCCTCGCTCACACATTGCTTACTACACACAGGATGTACAGCAATACATGAATGTCTTTACAAATTAAAACAAATTAAAGTAATAAAATATTACAAAAATGATTATTTTCTACATAAATATAAAAATCCCTGCCTTCATGCCTTCTTCATCTCGAAGGGCTTTTTCAGTTTATTCATGACAGTTTGCTTTTGCATTATGTTATTATTATTAGTAGTATATTTATTATATGCATTTTTATATTTGTTTTATTAAAACAGGCTTAGATATGTCCACCTGTCATGCTTTGGACCATAAGGGGCATAGCATGTGTGTTTGGATATCTCAGTTGCTTGAACATATTTCTTTATTATTGTTCATTTATTCGTTTGCTGGAAATTAGAACTGAATTTAAAAATAGTTTTGAAACTAATCTCTGCGCTTAACAAACAAAATCAATTATGTAGGCTAGTGGATGTCTGTGAGTGCAACAGGTTTCCTTATCCACGAAAGAAAGTGAGGGTGAAAGTAAAGAATGAGCAGGCTGTTCTCTCATTCTCATGCTGCAGTGGTTCTGTTTAACTGTTTTTTTGCTAGTGAAGTGTTCTTTCCACTTACAAAGTCCGCCATGTAAATAGCAAATGCACCATGGTGCGACGCAACTGGCTCTTAAAGGGAATGGGAGATGAGACTCTGATTGGTTTATTCTCAAAACAAACCTATAACTCATTAAAAGAATAGACTCAACGCTGTTAGACCATGCACCACAACACAGATATAGCAAAAGTGGATTCTGACACGTCCTTAATGCTTTTGTGTTTTGGACTTTGCGCCTAGATCGTTAAAATCGAGCTCTAAATCTTTTACGATTAATAAACAAATACAAATCCCCATCATTTATAATTTATGCTGCATGGGTGTTGACATCCTGATCTATTAATCAACCGTGATCCGTTTCACCCCTACCAGTAAAAAGTGCACTGTAAATTACTTTAGTTTTACAGCACAATTGTAATTATTTATTTACTGTGCGCTTATGAATTTCACAGTATTACTGGCAAAATTTACTGTTAATTAACAATTACATCTGTGCTGTAGTTTTACAGCACAATTGTAATTGATAATTTACTGTGGTCTTGTACATTTTACAGTAACACTGTAAATTGTACAGCAATTTTTTTTTACTTTTGTACTTTTACTTGAGCAAGATTTTCAAGTAGTATTTAACTACTTTCATTCATTCATTCATTCATTTGAAATGGTTTACGTTTTTAATCTAACATGCTAACCTCACATTATGTTCAATTCATAAGCATTTTTTTGGAATAATATCACACCAATTAGCCCTGGCTTTATGTAAGGCGACACTGCTCTAGAATGTTAAATCTCTTTATCTGAGCATGGGAACATTAACAGGTCCAGTGGAGCAGATCTGAACTAATGATACTTACAATACAGGAAAAGATCCACCTGACCCACTGAAGCAAACACAACAGCAGAACCGACTTGCACACACACAATAGCTACTCCACCTCCTTCTTCTCTCACATAACCTTGTCTCTTCATTCCACCTTCTACTGACCCTGGTGTGTGAGAGAGATACAGTATGTGTATCTTTAACTGGCCAAAGCGCTTTCTCAAAACTTTTCTACAGCAGATTAGCCACCATCAGGTAAAAGATATGCATGTTTTTTTTATGATTATTGACGGTTGTCTGATCAGATGTTTGTGTTTCGCGCAGGTGGAGTTGCTTATTGATAATGAAGCAGAGAAGGACTACCTTTATGATGTTCTTCGCATGTACCATCAGTAAGTCTCAATTCTAATAGTAGTACTACTAATAAAAACATTTTACAATAAGGTTGTATTTGTAAAATGTATTTGCTAACATAAACAAACAATGTACAATATATTTACTACAGTACTAAACATATCATCTTTGTCAACAATAACAAGAAAGCTGTTCATTGTTATTAAACATGAAGCATGAATTTGAAATTGTTTAATAATGCATTAGTGATTGTTGAACTATTAATAATAAATTAAATTAATAAATGCTGTACAAGTGTTGTTCATTAATAGTTCAGGTTATTAAATACTTTAAGTTACATTAACTAAAACCTTATTGTAAAGTGTGACCAATAATAATAATAATAATAATAATAAAAATAGTAATAATAATATTAACAATAATAATAATAATAATGTTAATTATAAATAATTATTATTAATTAATTTCTCATTGGTCACAATAGTAGTATTTGGTTTTGCACTGTTTACCTTAATGATAATAACAATAATTATTATTTTAAGTAAATTATTTATTATTATTTTAAGTTAATTAAGTTGTTATTGGTCACAATAATAATGTTTGGGTTTGTACTGTTTACATTAATAATAATAATAATAATAATAATAATAATAAGGTCCCACTTTATATTAAGTGTCGCTTAGTTATACCTGTGAACTTACATGGTAACTAGATGTGTAAGTAGTTTGTAACTACAGTGTATGTACACACTGGTACATAGTATTTACTTGTGTAATACTGGTGTAACTACACACATGTAACAACACAATAGTATGTGAGCTTTGTAAGCTTTGGTAAACTTGGTAAAACCCCTTTAATGTGAATTACTGAGGTGATTCTACAATTTACCTTTAAACAACATATAAACATAAGGCATTTGTATATTTCTCTATTTTATACTTTTTGGCAGAAATTTGCTGTTATTAAACAGTTGCACAAAGGTTTAGGTTTTATAAATTACACAGTAATTTGTGACCATTTTACGCTTTATATTGAGTGGACAGTTCCTGAGGATTTACCCTGAAATTACACTGGTATCACAAGGTGAAACCTTCTAATTCAGCCTTAGTTCTGCCAATCTTTTTCTAATATAGTTTTCATAAACACATGGTCAGGTGTGGAAGTGGGAAAACACCTGTAAGTACATTTTATTGTTACACAATGCACTTATGTAATTTTTGTTACAGATGTGTACTTTATTAGTGTTGTTACCAAAGTCCTGTTACACATTAGAACTTACACATACTATTCAGTGTGTTGTTACATGTGTGTAGTTACATCAGTATTACACAAGTCAATACTATGTACCAGTGTGTACATACACTGTAGTGACATACTACTTACACATCTAGTTTTCATGCAAGTTCAAAGGTAAAAGCGACAATATAAAGTGGGCACATGTTTGGTTTTGCGCTATTTACAACAACAACAACAACAACAACAAACAACAACAACAACAACAACAACAATAATAATAATAATAATGATTTTTTAAAAAGTTGCTCATTATAATAAATTATTATTATTATTATTATTATTATTATTATTATTATTATTATTAAATAATTTATTGGTCACAATAGTAATGTTTTGCAGTATTTACATGAATAATAATAATAATATTAATAAATAGTATTATTATTTTAAATACTTGTTCAATATAATTTATTTATATATTATTATTATTAACTATTTACTGGTAACAATAATAATGTTTGGTTTTTCACTGTTAACATGAATAATAATAATAATAATAATAATAATAATAATAATAATAATAATAATAATAATAATAATAATAATAATAATAATTATAATAATAATAATAAAATAATAATAATAACAATAATGTAAAAATAAAAACATATTATCATAATAACATTATTTATTATTGTTGTCATTGTTATATTTGTGGGATTATGCTTTTTATTATATTTATTGTGAAATGTTTTGTTGTTGTTAACAGGCTCAATATTATGCAAATTAATTTATTTTGTCATTAATTTCTCTGTTGCCAATCACAGGATATTAAAGAATACTGGGTCTTGACAAAATGCTTGCAGGCTCAAAGTTACAATATTGCTCAAAATTAAGAGCAATAATATAGAACACCCTAGCGACCACCTAGAATACCATGGCAACTGTATACCATTGATGACCCATTAAATCCTGAACATTACATTAATGTTAGCATTATTTAGCTGTTGTTTAAGTATTCCTTTTATTTTGTATTTATTGTCTTGTATTTATTTATCTTGTATTTTGTTTTGTTTTTTCTTCTGTTTTTATTCTGTGAATTTTGTGTGTGAAGTAACTTATTATTAGTTATTTAGCACATCAAGCTGAACTAAAGGAAAATAGCAATATTGTAAACTAGCTAAAAAAGTAGGCTCTGAAAAGGAATAGCGTCTATCGGAAAGGTTTAGATGTTGATAAATAATGTAGTTCTTCCACAATAGTCCTGGTAATCTGTTGATCAAAAGTAAATAGCATTCAAAATGACAAAAGTATTCAGTGTCCGTTTGTCTGTGTGCTATAATTGAGATCCTGAATGCTTTCTCTTAAATCTTTATTTGTGACCTTGTGTGTAAATGGACCCTCCACTGCTCCGCAGGACAGAAATGAGAGGCTGAATCCAATGGAAAACTAACTTGGTTCAGATTGTTTCCGCTGTCCACCATGCATTCAGGGGCAGCCATTCTCTCATGTCCCTTTGTCTCTGATATCTGAGTAAGGAGTGAAAAATCAATGATTCATAGAGCAGCTTAGTTTATGTGGGTATAAAGTGTCATTTTTCCACAACAACCTGTCTATTTGACTACAAAATATTGGAACATAATATCACAGTTTTCTTTTAATCCACATAAATAAGGAGTGATTTTATATCATGGCATATGCAGTTCATATATATCATGGGTTTTTATTTTTATATTAAAATTTTTTATTTATTCTTTTTCTTTTTAGCTTAGTCTCTTTATCATGCATGCAAATCTCTCTGCTTGCGCTCCGATTTCCTCTGCTGTTCAGAAAATTTCACTACTACGATTACAGAAAAGATAGTGCTGTTAAAGTTAACTTATATTTTAATACGTTTTGCTGCAATTATAACCAGCTATTAAAAAAACAACAGCGACTGAATGTTTTGAATGAGAAGCTTTAATGTAGCCGTGGCGGGATGAATTTTGGTGTGATTTTTTTAAAAAAGACATTTAAAAAAAAAAAACATTTTTAAAAAGAGAAAATCATTTGCAAAATCAAGAGAGCCATAAAATATATCAAATGTATTTTAAATGTTGTAGTTTTACTTTTTTAAAACACCTCATTAGAAATATTATTATCTTATATATTTATATTTTTGAAGATGTTAGGCGACCACACTATTATTTTGTTTAATCCAACTTTTTAAATGCACCAAATATATAGTCTTTTCAAAGAGGATATACTCATTTATCATATATTATAAACAAATGAGATCAGAATTATTAGGTCCCCTGAATTATTAGCCTCTTTGTTTAATTTTCTGTTTAACAGACACATTTCTAAACATAATATTTTAATAACTCTTTTCTAACAACTTTTTTTTTTTTTAATTGCTTATTGTGGCTAATAATATTGACCTTAAAATGGTTTAAAAAAAGCTTTTCATTCTAGCCAAAATAAAACAAATAAGACTTTTCCAATAGAAAAAAAATATTATAAGAAATACTGTGAGAAATAATTTTCTCTGTTAAACATTATTTGGGAAATATTTGAAAAAGAAATTCACATGAGGACTAATAATTTTGTCTTCAACTTGATATATTGACTTACAATAATATAAACTGGAGGTAAAAAGATTAACACTGTCATTTAGCATGTTTTCTTGATTTTAGTTTAGTTCACTAATTCTATTTTATATTCAATCAATGTTTTGAACATGGATGAGCCATTCGAATTGTTCCAATCTATTCTATCCAATCCTTTTTTTAATCCTTCTACTGCTCCTCCTTTAGATCCATGGACCTGCCTGTCCTTGTTGGTGACCTGAAGCTGGTAATAAATGAGCCCAAACGCCTTCCTTTGTTTGATGCCATCAGACCCTTGATTCCTCTGAAGCACCAAGTGCAGTATGACCAGCTCACGCCCAAGAGATCCAGGTGAGAAAGCAAACAAATTACTCGTAGAATAAAACAGATTAATGGGATCTGATGCTGCTGAGAACAGTGGAAATGTTTCTCTGCATGAATAGCTGTGAAAGACATAGAGAACGAGGGCAGCGGAAATTAGAGGAGGCTGGAATGACAGCCACTGCTTTCATCTCCGAATAGAATCATTGTTTTCTCTCGTGCTCGGTCGGACGAGGTAAAGGAACGCTGTTATGAGCACTGGGTTTACTCAAGCGTCTCTGCAGAGCGCTAATAAGGCCACAAAGAACTGGATTCTGTTTTCTTTCGCTGTATTTTCTTCAGAGAATATAAGAAGTATTTTCACTAACTACAATATGGTTTTAAATGGGTTATTTATTTTGGTGTCATGTGTCAGTAAGATATATTAGTTTACGTTTCTATTATATTGTACTATTAATTGTAATAATTTGATGAGATTGTACAAGGTGTTTGATTGCAGCCAGTTCTCCACACAGGGATCAGGGGTCTCTCTTATAAAACTTTTATTGAAACCTACAAGTAAACGTGCACTAGAATATATATTTATATACATTTATATACATTTACTCCTAAATCATTATTGGCTCTTATTAGGATTTAAAGAGCCCATATTATACATGAAATAGGGTCATATCTTGGTTGTAAGGGTCTCCAACAACAGTTTAATATGCATGCAAGGTCAAAAAACACTTTCATGGTCTTATAATCTGCATTTATTTTTACCTAATTATCCCAGCGACTCCTGTATGAATCGTTCAGGGATTCATTTGTTCCCAAACCCCTCCTTAGCGCGAAGCTAATCTGCGCTGATTGGACCGATGACAGTCTGTTGCGATTGGTCGACTGCCTTCAGTCAGAGAATGAAATGCCAAACAGCTAATCAGCAATATAAAAGTAATCACAGTTCATACACGCTAGATAGTGTAGGCGTGGATTTTAGCTGCCAGTGGGTCAATGTAAATACAGACTATGGACTTGAAAATACAGACGACTGACTATTTTATTGAACAAAAACTCCAAAAACAGTTGAGGAGATCTCCTAGCTTCTCACTCTGCTCTTTTCACAGACACACACACACACACACACACACACACACACTCACACACACACACACACACACACATACGCACTTAACCCTGCTCCGGACGACAACGCGCGCGCGCGCACACACACACACACACACACACACACACACACACACACACACACACAAACACACACACCTCCGGACGACAGCGCGCGCACGCACACACAGACACACACACTAACGTTACTCCCCGTCCACGGAGCTCCGTTAACGCAGCACGCGTCGCGTTTTTAACGTGACTTTGCAAACGATAAGAGAATATAGCCAGTTAACCTCATACAGTACACGCGGTTACAAGTAACAAATCACAACTAAATACATTTGCAAGCTAGAGTCAACGAGGCAACTTTAATCGCACGTACTTACACTTGAGAAATGGAGGAAGAAACCCATCCTGACGTCTATCAGTAAGTTACTGATCCTTCCTTTAACAAACGCTGATGAAGTACTCTTTGTAGCATGTAGCTTCCAGAAGTTTCCAGTAGTTTCCAACTGCTTGGCTATAATGCTGAGGTTTCATCTTTGGGTAGAGACTCAATATATCCATCTGCAGTGTGACTTCAATCGACCGGCATGTTTGTGTGTGTGTGTGTTTGTGGGTGTGTGTGTGTGTGTGTGTGTGTGTCTCGGTTTCTGCGTCAGAGGGCGGGGCCTCAGGTTTGAAATCTCCCGGGTTTGCGCGTGCACGTGAATAACTTGGTTTCGTTCGTACGTCATGGCGAAACACCTAATGAATCCGTATCAAGGCGACTCGTTTGAAGCACTATGAGTCGACTCTTTTATAGGTAAATCAACAGTTTTAAACACTGTACTCTTACAGATTTAAGCCTTAGCTGGATACTCCACTTCACTTAGAGCTGTGTTACACACTACATGGAGGGGAATTTTCAAAAACCCATAATATGGGCTCTTTAAAGAAGTTAATTCAAGTCAATATTTAAAGCTGCCATATAAAGTAAATCTAGGTATACCTAGGCATAGTCAAATAATAGGAGATTTGTATATGTCAATGGGCATACCTCAGACACCATTATTTCTTCGTTCTTGTGTAAATTCCATGAGTGTAAAACCCTGGTGGACAAAGGGCCAGTCAAAACACAAAACAGACTGTTTCGGGACTAACAGGCATGCCCTCGTCATTTGTGTGTACTTTAGATCAAGTTCTACATCATCCGGATCTGATGAGCATCAGGATATCACTAGCCATATCACAGACTGATATATTGCTCTGGGATCATTATTATGCCAGCCTTAGGCTGTGTTTGATTAACAAAATGTTTAATTAGCCACTTTCACACTGTGATACCAGTAAATATCCAGAGAATTTCTGGAATAACTTTACCGGTAAATTTTAGTTTGTTCTGTTCACACAGGCTAGAATGTTCTGGAATGTTTTTAATGGCAAATTCTGACATCATTAACCATAAATGAGCTCTAAAGGCAGGTAATGGTGGATGGTTTAGCTTTTGTTTTAAATTTTAGCATTCATGTACCCGTTTTTGTCCCAGAGATAGACCAAACAACTTAGGCAGAGGTGCTTAACTTAGCTGAAAACAGCTTTGTTTACACATTTATTGATCATTTTTTCCACAGTTTGCACTCAGAAGGATCATAGAAATGTTACCAGCTAAATGTTTCTGGAGAAAGATTCAAAGGCATTAATTTTAAAAACAACTTGGACATGAATATGTCTGATTGGCCGCAGTAGAAGTCCCAAATCAATGCGGTCTAAACGTAAACGCGATCTGACCGGAAATTTTCCGAAAAGCATTCCGGAAAATTACCGTTAATATTACAACTTCTCTTTCAAGAGAATTGCCGGAACGAATTTACCACTATTTTCAAAAAAGGCCTGTTCACACATGATCCCTTTCCAGAAAATTGCTTGTAATTTTCTGGAAAAGTCTATATGTGTGAAAGGGGCTATCGTGAGAAAGCAATGGTCATTTTCCACCCTTAGTTATTTTTAAGTTTATATTTAACTTACTCTGTCTGTGGGACTTTTATTTTGGATAACAGTAGACACAGATTGTTTACTATGCGTTACTAAGCAACAACTGCATGAGACATCTGTTCAAATATGGACCATGTTTGGCAATATGCTGTAAAGTGAAGATGCTCTCAAAAATAAAAAATAAAGTGATTCAGAGGTCTTTTCACTGAAACTAAGGGCTCATGCCCAATCGTTTAGTATTACAGCTGCACAATGTGTTAAAAAATCATTCTTATTGGGATAATAGTACATGCAATATCCATGGAGAAGTGCAATAAATGAAGCTATTTTTATGTGCCAAGCATTTGGGCTTTACTATCTTCATCACCACCTCTCCAATAGCAACCTAGACCCCTCAAAATAAATACTAATAGCAAAATACAAGAGAGGAATTACAAGAGAAATACAATCAGATTTTCCACCAAGGTTTTCAGTCAACCAGGGTGTTTAAAAAACTAAATGTTTTACATTTTTTAGCTTTAATTGGTTCAGAAAAATATGTAGTATCTTTTTATTTTAGTATGATTATTACATAAATAAAAGATTTTTAAAAATTGCTGATAAAATTGCATTTTTAAAAAGTTAGTTATTTTCTAATAAATATCGTTATCGCTACACTCAACAACAACATTGCGTTTTTCCCAGCATTGAACAGCCCTAATTAGTATTATTAAAATTTGTAAAACATGCTATTTTTAACTTAATATGATTTTATTGTGTTCAAAGTTTTGCTAATTTTTATATGCCACTGTTTCATCATCCTTTGTTTTGAGCAGGAAGTTGAAGGAAGTTCGTCTGGATCGCACACACCCCGAGGGTCTGGGTTTGAGTGTTCGAGGAGGACTGGAGTTTGGCTCTGGCCTCTTTATATCGCAGATAGTCAAAGATGGACAGGCTGGAAATGTCGGCCTGCAGGTAAGAAAACCATAATGCAGTCTCAGACACATGTACTGAATACAGCTAGTGATGTCACTGTTAGTGGTGGGGTTAGGTGTACACATTAAAAGCAATGCATGCATCTGCACCCGGTCTATAGCCAGACCATTCTCAAAAAATCTGGAAAAACTTCAGGATGTCTGTTTAGGCAGCCGTTGTTATTACTTTAATGTAGCAAATACAATTTGTGTCAATGGAACAGTTTATTCAACCTTTAGACACATTTTTAAATAAAAGAAATATATCAGTAACATTACACTTTTTATTTCAACCCTTATAAAACATTACAAAAAGGCTATATGATTTATTTAAAAAAAAATGTTTAAACCCTTAAATGCTGGCTTCACTTTTTGTGCATAAATCAGTAAATCAGTAAATAATGTTCTGGTGCATGATTAATCTTATTGTAAAGAAGACCCTTGTTAAGTTGTTGATATGTAAAAAGATCAAACAGTTAAATCAAGAAAGTGACATCCAAGTAAATTTTATATAGTTATTTTCAAAATGATGCTTTCATATTTTAAACAAATTATGTGTTTACTCTACAAATGCTAGACCATAAAGCCACAATTCTGAACAAATTGTATTCTAATTTAAAGTAAATATTAAAAAAAAAAAAAAAAAAAACTTTTAGTGATGTTTTTTTTTGGGTGCTGTACCAAACACAACCACCAGATGACATCCAGAGTCCATTGATAAATTATTGATGATGATTATTTAGGTTTCTATGAAAATGAATAGTAACATCTGAGAACATGTTCAAGATGGAGGGAATTAAAATTTTCATCAACATAACTTGAAGGAAAATCAAGGTAAACATTGCTTGATAAGGAAATACATTTATTCTTTGTCATTTCCAAACATGTTGTACCCTCAATTATGTTTAAAAAAAAAAACAAACAAAATAATGGTTAATAAAAGTTTTTTTGTATACATGAAAGGCTACTATCAATTCAAAGCTAATTGATGAAGCTATTTTTCATTTTTCACAATAAACAGTTGAAATATCATTTCCACCACTGTCATTTCCATCAAAATATCAAAAAATATTTAAAAGGTTCTCATCACACATTAAAAGTGTATTTACAATGTATAAATTTATGCTCTATTTAATATATAAATTCAGTTTATTTATTTTCTGAGAAGCTCTTAACCAAATAAATATTACATTTTAGAGTGTGACAGGTGTACAATTCAGCATACAACTAATTAATTTCATTGACAAATGTATAATTATTATATATATTGTGGTAGATTGTATTATAAAGATTGGGTAAACTAGATACAGATATGATTTTAGACACTGTTTGACTGCCATAATTGATTTTATTTTGAAATAAAAGCTGTATATTGAGATGTGGTGGAATTGAGATTTGTTCAGTTCACGATCGAAAAATGTTTCTCTTCTCATTTAAGTTTGCCTTGTTACAGATCCTAAAACTAGACAAATCGTTTAAACTTATGAGGCTATGCTGCGTTAATTTGGAACAAGTTTTTTTTTTTACTCAACTTCACAAGACTAAAAGGGCCCGTAGATAAAGAATGGCCCATAAATGATTTAAGAAGTGTTTTGAACCATATTTTTCTTAACTTTGTACAATATTTATGAATTAGACATAATTTTTTTTATAAATATAGAATGGGTGATAATCCTATTGAACGCTTAACATGGAAATAAACAGTTTTTATGATTTTACTTATGCTGTGTTCAAACCAGTCTCGGAACTCACAAACAAGTCGTGCTATTCATGCATAAAAAGACGCGTAAACATTTTGAGTTTACTCGCTTCATTCTCTTGTCAAATTCACTTCACAATAGATGCAGATTCGTGTCAGGAGCAGGGCGTCTGTCTTCAACTGAAGCAACTCTAGTTTCATTGCTAAATGGCTAACATGGATTTCATTGAGAGAGTAGCTGTGTTTATGTACTTTAGGAAGGCTGATAAACAGCGTCGATTCGTTAGGAGCTGTGTCCACTAGATCCATTCAAAGGTGCACAGTACATATATATATGTATATTGTACACGATATATTGTATATATATATATATATATATATATATATATATATATATATATATATATATATATATATATATATACACACATATATACACATAAATTTGCTAAAAGCTATCTATTGATGTGCTGAATAATATGTTAGATGTCTTGAACATAAAAAATTTTAACTTATTTTCCCTATTGGTTTTTGACTTTTTTTTAGTTTAACTTTCTTGACAGTTATGATGTGGATATGACTGATATACTCAACTTAGATTTATTGGATCAAAAACTATGAAATATTACTTGCAGTTCGCTTAAGATCGTGTACAATTTTGGTCATGTACATGTTGTTAATTTATACATATTTAAATCAATTTTGATACAGTATGCTTTATAATGATTGATAATTTAATCAATTTATGAATTTCTTTCTTCTGTTCAACACAAAAGATGAAGAAGAAAAAAGCATTTTGACTTTCTTGGGATTTTTTTAATTGTCCTACCATGGAAGTAGATTTTTGTTTTTTCCCCTAAATTTATTTTGTGTTCTCATAATGGTTTAAAACCACATGAGAGAAAAAACATGTTGAGGTAATTTTTGTTTTTGGATGAACTATCCCTTTAAATCTGTTAGACCAGTGCATTTTATAACCGCTAGGTGGAGCAAAAAGCCTTCTCATTGTCAAATTCTTTCTGTCTTCTTGCTGACCCCCATGCACATGCAGCATTCAAATTCAGCTCAAGTGTAGCATTTTGTGATGGCAAACCTTGCATCCAAACATGTCTACTTCTATACTGTAGAAGATATAAAACTGTATGATAGCAGACTAGTTATTCTCAGATTTATAGCATGCATAAAACAGTAGTTAAAAGTATCTAGAGAATCTGATAGACACTTTAATATTATTACAGTGCCACAATACTGGATATATTCCATGCGTGCATATAATCCATGCACTTCCTCATTTTCCTCATTTTCTTTCGGCTTAGTCCCTTTGTTGGCTGAATGAACAGCCAACTTATCCAACATATGTTTTACACAACGGATGCCCTTCCAGCTGCAACCCAGTACATATTTCATTCATGTTACACACATACTGAATCGTGCATACTTTTATCGAAAGAAAAGAAAGAAAGTTTTAAACCGTATGCATTAGCCATTATGTATCTCACTCTGCAATTTTTTTGTTTACTATTTATTTAATTACCATTCTAAAAATTGGTTTTCTGTGTATTATTTAGGTCGGTGATGAGATTGTGCGCATCAACGGCTACTCCATCTCTTCCTGCATTCACGAGGAGGTCATCAACCTCATCAAGACCAAGAAGACTGTGTCTTTGAAAGTCCGCCGTAAGATGCTTATTTTCATATTGTCACCTGTATAGTTGACTTGATTTTTTTTGTCAGTCTTTCTATTTTACTGAGCGGTACTGTCTTACATAAAGTGCCGTTTATTGGCTGCAGGGGGTGCCGATGAGCGACCCATCGAAAGTAAACAAAAAGCCACTCCAGTTTTTTTCATCTCCCTGGTGATAAACACGACGACAGACAAATAATTAAGCTATAGTTGTGCTTTTTATGAACCTATATAATTCGACAACTAAACACCAAAGCGCGTTTGTAAAAAATACATTGTATTATCTCTATTGAAGAGCAATGATCAATTCATAAATAAAAAGTGAAAATAGCCTGCTGAAGTTCCACAGATATTTTGTTCACGTTAACTTTATGAGGATTTTTTTTAACTTTAAATGCATTTTTGTCTTGTTTGCGTTATAATCTTACATTATTTAAAGTATCATATTATTACTTATAATAATTAATTCAATTCACCTTAATTTGTATAGCGCTTTTAAAATGTAGATTGTGTCAAAGCAGCTTCACATAGAACAGGGGTGTCAAACTCAATTCCTAGAGGGCCGAAGCCCTGCACAGTTTAGTTCCAACCCTGCTCCAACACACTGACCTGTAGGTTTCAAACAAGCCTGAAGGACTCAATTAGTTTGATCAGGTGTGTTTAATTAGGGTTGGAACTAAACTGTGCAGAGCACCCCTTGCAGCCCTTTTGGAACTGAGTTTGACACCTGTGACATAGAAGATCATAGTAAATTAAAACAGTGTAGTTCAGTTTTTAGAGTTAAAGTTTAGTTTATCTCAGTTCAGTGCAGTTTATCAATCACTTCTGAGGGTCCAAACACTTAAGAGCAATCCATCGATGTGCAGCTCTATAGATCACGAACCATGCAAGCCAGTGGTGACAGCGGCGAGGAAAAAACTTCACCAATTGGCGAAAGTTAAGAATAAACAAACCTCAAGAGAAACCAGGCTCAGTTGGGCATGACCATTTCTCCACTGGCCAAACGTCTGGTCAGAGCTGCAGTCAAGGCACCAGAGGCTGGAACCTGGACCTCAGCGAAGACTCGCAGAGGTCTCATGCTCTCCACTTCTCCATGACTCCACAGTAGCTGCTCAGGATACAGCCTGGTCCAGGATATGGAAACCTTGGGATCATCTCGTCGCTGTATATGCTATATGCAGTTTGTTTTGTTAAAATCATATTTAGAAGAGACAACCCCTGGTCACCCTTAGGAATGGGATGACATAAAAATACTATAGTAATGCATAGTACATAATATAGTGTTCTTAATCCACACTATAGTAAATTACCTATATAGTCTAGACCAGGGGTTCCCAATCTAAACTCCAATCTTTTCAGCCCACGAGCCCCAAAATAACAACTCCAATGGCTCACGACCCCAACTCTGCTCAGAGATGGTTAAAAACATACATTGCACACAATGGTGAGCCAATAGGAACTATATAAACACAACATGGACAACACAAAAAGTGCAGTCTAACAACCATATCATTTTTATTGTCATCATTCGTTTGTGTAGTTTAATATAAACATCACCTAATGAGAATGGTGGGCACAGTGTTTACAGCACATTCTTGGTATAGTTTTGGAGATCGCCAGTTGAAGATCATCCTCCATGTTCAGTCATGGCCTTTATTTTAAATGTATATGAGTGCCATATGGGTGTCAAAGTTAAAGATTGTGTTCTAAAATCAATCTGCTGCGATGTAAATCTAGCATAATAACCCCAGGGGTCACACTCCAATGAAAAAAAGAATGAAAGGCTGATAGCTTTTTATTTGCATGTTGTTTTTTATGCAACTATTGAATACTAAGTATATATTAAATATATTATCATTTAAAAAATTTTTTTTATCTTTTCTAGGTTATGGATAAAATATGGTAATTCTAGTTTAATAACAGATACGAGATTTTTGGAAATCACCAAGTGACCAAGTTCGTACTAATGAATTAGACGAATGTTAAATAATAAACACAAATGGTGAAACAACCGTTAGAGTAAACTTAAATATTAAATTTTTTTGTTCTCATTAATTAATAAACATAGGAAGCAATAGGTCTTTAGAAGGATAAACCAAAATAACAACATTTCTCTTGCCCGATTTGGCCTACACAATCAGTTTTTGATCAGTGAATTACCGTACATGACTGGAGCAAGTCTGGCTACTATACAATGGCCAAACATGGACCATATCTGGGCCAAGTCTCAGCCAGGTTAACAACCCATAACTGGGCCTGAACTTGGCCAGTAATGTTGGTGTGCCACAACTGCAATGAGTTTGATAAACCCATGAAGCATTTCGCTTTAGGCGTGCTATGGAGGTGCTTTTTCTCAGTGCAAACTGATTGGTGAAATCTTTTCTAAACTCAAAAATAAATTAAATGTATTTTAAAAGTGGGTCATGATACGCCAAACCTATACGTGGCCCACATTTAAATTTTTAGAATCTGGGCTAAATTATACATTTGATATCTGGCCCATGTCCTGTGTGCCGCCTTAAAGATGGTGCGACCTCCACCAAACCAGGGCCATGTTTGGCCCACATGCTTTATGCCAGTGCCTGATGAACGCCTGCTGTGACAGCTTTATGCCCAATCTGGGCCAGAATTCTTTAATGCCTGGAAAATAACTTATATTAGAAAAGCTATAAAAAACAAAAGCTTACCTTAACTCCCTCATTATGAATAAACAGATACAAACTGGTGCAAAAATAAAAATGGCACCCTCAACTATAAAATTGTCAAAGCACAATCATTCACGTTTTTGTAGTATGGTTCAAAAACGATTTACAATTTGCAACTTTTTGTTTCATTGGTTATTTTTTTATTAATTTAAACAATCTCGTACATATATGTTTAATATGAATTGTGATATTTTAGCCTGATCTCACAAGGAAATGTACCTGTTTTATGTTTTGTCAGTTACAAATTGCTGTGAGATAGCGTTGGATTTGCTCATCCCAAGTTAGGGGTAGGATTAGAGGTGGGATTTGGGTGCACGCCTTAAAAACTTTTATGAATTCGTACAAATTAGCCACTATTGTGACAATACATAAACAAAGTATGTTTCCTTGTGAGATTAAGTTGGAATTTACAATAAACTTACTATAGTTTCGTTTTTTTTCCATGACATAGTAGCCAGAAATGTTTTCAGATTTTGTGATACTTCATGAATTTTATATATATACAGTTGAAGTCAGAATTATTAGCCCCCCTTTGAATTTTTGTTGCTTTTTTAAATATTTCCCACATTATATTTAACAGAGCAAGGACATTTTCACAGCATGTCTGATAATGTTTTTTCTTCTGGAGAAACTCTTATTTGTTTTATTTCGGCTAAAATAAAAGCAGTTATTATTTTTTTAAACACCATTTTAAGGACAAAATTATTAGCCCCTTTAAGCTAACTTTTTTTTTTGATAGTCTACAGAACAAACCATCGTTATACAATAACTTGCCTAATAACCCTAACCTGCCTAGTTAACCTAATTAACCTAGTTAAGCCTTTAAAGTCACTTTAAACTGTATAAAAGAGTCTTCAAAAATATCTAGTAAAATATTATTTACTGTCATCATGGCAAAGATAAAACAAATCAGTTATTAGATATGAGTTATTAAAACTATTATGTTTAGAAATGTGTTGAAGAAATCTACTCTCTGTTGAACAGAAATAGGGGGAAAAATAAACTGGGGTTCTAATAATTTAGGGGGGCTAATAATTCTGACTTCAACTGTATATATATATATTATATATATTATGTCTTAATTCATAAAGGAAGTATCACTGAAAACATTTTTGGCTACTATGTCATGGAAAAATACTATAGTAAATGTATTGTTATATATATATATATATATATATATATATATATATATATATAATTTTTTTGAAAAGGGGGAGGGCGAATGATACAAATCTTGCCTTGGGGGACCAAAAACAAAGTCTACAAACGGCCCTGGAAAGACGATCAAGAAAGGTCCCTGAACTGGGATTTGACCTCTGGTTGCCCAGAGCACAACTGCACTATTGGTGGAAGAGCTTCCAATCTCCAAGCTGACTTTATTATTTAGGAAACAAAATAATATTTGCCTCTTTTTTCAATGGGGTTAATTAACTGATTTAACTCTCAGTAACAGTAATTCAGTCGCCGCTGAACTGCGATAGATTTAACAGCTCAACAGTTATTGAAGTAACATGTTTTCCTTCAGAGGAGTTCATTATCAGGGTTGCCTTTAGCTAGACATATTATTTATTCACTATTTATTGATTAATGTATTCCCATTGTGACTCTTTCTCCGCAGATGTGGGAATGATTCCTGTCAAGAGGTAATTTGGTGCAATCTTCCATTTTATCTTGAATTAATTGATTCTAACACTCATGTTTGAATTTATTTCCACTGATAATGTTTTTGCATTATTTTAATTATTGTGTTAATTAGCTCCTCCGATGAGCCTCTGAAGTGGCAGTTTGTGGATCAGTTTGTTTCGGAGTCAGGGGTAAGAGATTTTTCTTTCGTATTTTAACCCGGTAAATATATTTAATATGAACATGTGTAAGACCTCCACATTATGAAGGTAATCAAAAAATAGAAAAACATCTTATTGGCTTTTTTTCTGTTTTTGGTTTTGAAAGAAAAAGGGTGAGTTAATGAACAGAAAATTATTCCAGTGTTAACATATTTTTTAAACTGTTTTATAAAATCAATATCACATTTGCATTTAGGACAAATCTGCTATTTAGAACACAGAAATATATAACTTATGTGATGTTGTGTTTGTTGAATATGTGATATATCACATGATATAAAAATTTCATGACAAAAACTACAGAATGATAATAAAAAATGTAAAAAATAAAGGGACATCTATGCCCCAATGTCTTGAATGGCTATTTTGGGGACATATTACATTCTATGGGCCTGCATCATGTGTGTCACCAATTTGTTTTCTGTTTTCTAAGTGTGGTGTATAAATTTGGAAGAACACATTAACATCTTGTTTCAAGAATGTGACCCTGGATTACAGAACTAGTCAGTTTACTGGGTCACTTTTTATTGATGTATGGTTTGTTAAGATATGACAATATTTGATTAAAATAAAACTTTTTGGATGTGTAATCTGAGGGTTTGAAAAATCCAAATATTGAGAAAATCTCCGAAAATTTGTCCAATTTCCTTCTTTGCAATGCATAGTTCTAATCAGAAATTATATTTTGTTGATCATTAACCAAATGTACATCATAAAATAAAAATAGATTATTTTGTTTCATTCAGTGTATTTTTGGCTAATCCCAAAAAAAAAAAAAAAACTGTCAACATACGACTGGCTTTGTTACATGTTTACATGTTCTATGGTTTCCTCCCAGGAGAAGAGTAACAGTATTGCTGGCTTGGCTTCAATTGGAGGGAATGAAATTAAGGAAAAGAAAGTGTTCCTTAGTTTGGTGGGCACCAAAGGCATGGGAATCAGGTAAGGGAGAGACTGATAAATAACACTGAAAAAAATATTTAAAGTCAGATTAAAGTAATTAATTTATCCCTTAAAACTCACCTTTCCTTCTTTTGTCTTTAGTTTAGATTAGCTTAGCATAGACATTAAATCAGATTAGACCATTAGCATCTCACCTAAAAATGTAAAAAAGATTCCTATTTAAAGCTTAACTCTTATCCTGTTGCTACAATTTTTAGGCTGCAAAATATCATTGTGCCACATTGGCCAAGAAAACAACAACTTTTTATTTCTTTTTGTCTTAGTACACAATGTAACCACAGAAGAGGTTTTTTTTCAATATATTGATGTACTTCCAACTGAAACTGAATATTGAGTAGAAGATGTGACTTTCTTTTTAGAAACTTGTAATGATATAGAAATAAATAACTTGATGCTTAAAGGGGCATGGTTAAGAAAATTGTGGCTTAAGAACCGGCATTCCAAATGCAGAAGCAAATGATAAGACTTTGACTGAAGATTACCAAAACAATATATTAATTTTTTCATAGATTTTTTTTAATCGCTAACAAGCGCTTACCCATACTTCAGATACATTTTCGAAACTCTTAACAGAGACCCACATCTACAAAACACAATTGGCCAAATTAATAATTTTCTTCATAAAATTACATTATATTAACTATTCATTTCAAAATAGAGCACATCTTCCTCTGCACACTCTAACTTTACCAAAACACTGGAAATCTGACTCACAATGTAATTATTCTGTCTAAGAATAACACTTGTTTTCACTTCACAAGGTGCATGCAGTCCATTAAATTAGGTTTCAAAGTCCTGGCTATTGTTGACATTACAAAAACAAGACGTTTATGTTACAGTTTTACAGGTGTTTGTCCGCAGAACATGCAATCCACCATTTTGACATTGGATTTCTTAGTTGAGAACTGTTTACAGTACAGTAATGTTCACATTTAAAAGCATTCCAGTAAAAAACAAATTTTTTTTTTTTTCTTAACTGTTTACTACAGAAGGTACAGTATGAACACGGTACACAGCAAAATCCTCAGAGTAAAATTTCCTCAGTTCAGAGAGTATTTGGTCTCTATTACCAAACAGGCTGATAATAAGTAAAGCTGCTGTTTGTGAAGTTGCTTAAAGATCCTCTGCTGAGATTTTGAGAGATTCAATGTATTATATTGCAGCTGATTTCATCTAAGGTTGTGAATAAAGTTGGTTATAGTTAGAGTCGGTTAGAGTAAATTTTACCCATAGGATTTTGCTGTATATGATAGAACAACAAGTTGGAGCACTCACTCTGGTCCCCAGGGCTCTGCACTGGTTGGGGAAATTCCAAATTGGTCCACAACAAACCATTACAATTGGCTCAAGATTGGTAAGCTAAATTGCAGGGACATTGCAACAGAACCTGGAATAAAAAATAAATAAATAAATTTTACAAATATGTATTCCAATGTTTCCAATTACCAGGAGTGGTACTTAGTATCACACATGCAATCAGATATTTGGCCGAACAGATCAGCAACTTTTGACGCTCATAAACAATCATAAAGCCCTCGTGCTGCAGGAATGAGGAGGTTTGCTGAAGGTGCATCTTTAATAAACTACGGCAGTTTGCTTTCACTGAAAAGTAAGATTGATTAATAATCCATATGAAACAGCCCCTTAAAAGTCATGTCTCGCTTTCAGTTTCGGGCTTTGGCGCGTTTTGCAATCACACAAGCGTACCGTGCCAAAGCCCAAGTGAACCGCACTCAGGCCCACCTCTTCCAACTGGACCAGGGCCGGCCAAGTGAACCTTGCCTGAGCCCAATTCAGCGCACTCACACTTCTCAAACGATCCGGGAAATGGGCCTGGGCACGGTACGGATAGCATAGTGTGAGTAGGCCCTTAGGTCGTACAGGTACTAGGTACAGTTGCCTCGAACCGGGCCAAAGCACGCTTGTCCCCCCTCCCGTCTCCCCCGACGGCCCGCGCTCACACCATATCGGGCCTCGACACGCTCACGTCATCGCTGCTGCTCTGTTCAGTGAGAAGCGCTCTCTATGGCAAGCCTTTTTAGCATTTAAATCTTTGTTCTGACTCCATAAATATATTTAGAGATATCTCTAATTATATTTTGACTAGTCATAATTATAATTTGACTAGTCAGAATGACAATTAGAGATATCTGCAATTACAATTGTACTAGTACGAAATCAGATTGGAGATATCTGCAAATATATTATGACTAGTCATATTCCTCCATTGACTTCCATTGAAAAATATTTGCAGATATCTCTAAATGAGTTTTGACTAGTCATAATTGTAATTAGAGATATCTTTAAATGAGTTTTGACTAGTCACAATTGTAATTAGAGATATCTCTAAATGAGTTTTGACTAGTCACAATTGTAATTAGAGATATCTCCAAATGAATTTTGACTAGTAACAATTGTAATTAGAGATATCTCTAACTGCGTTTTTACTAGTCATAATACATTTGGAGATATATTTAATTTGTCATATTTAGAGATATTTACAAATATATTTGAAGATATCTCTAATTAATTTACTAATAGTCGAATTACAGTTGTAGATATTTTGAATTGGATTTTTGACTAGTCAAAATTCATTTAGAGATATCTCTAATTACAATTGTGACTAGTCAAAAATCATTTAGAGATATCGGCAAATTTTTTCAATGGAGGAATATGACTAGTCATAATATATTTGCAGATATCTCCAATCTGATTTCGTACTAGTACAATTGTAATTGCAAATATCTCTAATTGTCATTCTGACTAGTCGAATTATAATTATGACTAGTCAAAATATAATTAGAGATATCTCTATATGGATAGTCAGAACAAGGTTTAAATGCTAAAACGGCTTGCCATACGCTCTCACCCAGTAGCACAGTGGAGATTTCTCTAGTTATATCCTTTCAGTCGTTTGTTATGCATTGACATGCAGTCAAATATTTTGCCAAACGGTCCTTAGGGATGCGGGGACACGCAGTCAGATTATTCACCAGACAGATCCGCCACTTTTGGCGCTCATAAACAATCATAAAGCCCTCGTGCTGCAGGAATGAGGAGGTCTGCTGAAGGCGCGCAGCTTTCGTGCTGTGAGGAGTTCTCGTCTTTAATAAACTACGGCAGTTTGCGTTCACTGAACAGTAAGAATGATTAATAAATCCATATGAAACAGCCACTTAAAAGTCACGTCTCGCTTTCAGTTTCGGGGTTTGGCGCGTTTTGCACTCACACACAAGCGTACCGCGCCAAAGCCCAAGTGAACCGCGCTCAGGCACACCTCTTCCAACCGGGCCAGGGCCGGCCAAGTGAACCGTGCTTGAGCCCGATTCAGCGCACTCACACTTCTCAAACGATCCGGGAAACGGGCCTGGGCACGGTACGGATGGCATAGTGTGAGTAGGCCCTTAGTGTCAGCTCTCCTAACACCTTTATAATTGTATTTTTTGAGATATCCAATCTACACATAAAACTATATATGTTTTTCTTAACATTCTTTAATACTCTGTTATACAGCATATCAAGTGGACCAACAAAGAAACCAGGCATCTACGTGAGCAATGTGAAGCCGGGTTCACTCTCAGCTGAAGTGGGCTTACAGGTCATTTCTATTAATTCATAGATTAAACCCTTTTAGTACACCATTACTATTTGATTTTAGTCTAGTAACCTACTAATGTCTTTTCGGTTGTGTGGTTTATAGGTTGGCGACCAGATTGTGGAGGTCAATGGGGTGGAATTCACCAACCTGAGTCATCAAGAGGTAAGTATCTCACTGAAAATGTCAAACAATCACTTAAGAATCTCCCTGCATATTTTAACTAAAGGTTTCCACGCTTTCAGGCAGTGCGGGTGTTAAAGAGCAGCAGGAGTCTAACCATCACCGTACTCACTGGGGCTGTAAGTAATACATTTTTGCAACATCTCGAACACTCACCACAAGGATTTACCTCTCTCAGAGGGGCTGTGCTCAAAGGAAATCCATATGCTCAGAGTGAAGCTGTTTTTTATTGACAGCAGAAGACAAGCATAGTAAACAGTACATATGTTTTTTGGTATTGTTAAGTTTGCCTTTATGTAACTGCACTGTAAAAAGATTTTAATTATTGCACTTTGTATTTTTGTGATTGACTCTGTTATTTTCTTTCATTTATTTGCGGTTTTAAATTGTGTGATTGGACCTTTATCTCTGCATTGTTGACTTTTGATATTGAAAACTGAACCATGCAGGTTAACAAAGTGACTACAGTGTTTCTTCTAGGATTTTTTTTCCAGCTGTGGCAAGCAGGCCTTTTACACAGACTACTACCTACTACCTTTGGCGTTATTTTAATGACAAATGTCGTGAGCACAGTATTACAAGTTGTGGTCACATTTTTGTAATACGAGCATCCAAATCTCTTTGCTTGCACGCCAATTTCCTCTGTTCGTGCACAAAAGTTACACGCCCACTGAAATATACACTGCTTAAATACAGATTTTCCTGTGCACTCCCAAATAAGCACAATTCAATTACCTTTTAATATGTTTTGGTGAAATTATAACCCACTATGAAAAAAAAAAAAAAAACACTGATTGTTTTGAACAAGAAGATATAAATTTAAAAAGAGGTGGCGTGGTGAGTTTTGGTGTGGTGCCCTGCAATGGAAGAGTGAATGTAGCGGAGACCATGGACTGTTATTACAATTCCAATCTTTTGAAACAAAATATTGTATAATAAATAATACGTGAAGAATTAAGTCCATCTATTAACTGAATAACCAGGCAGTTTATTATCAGGTTTGTGCGCTGTACTTTACAACACCAATCCAGACAATATATCACTTCAAACAATTGTAAAATGTCAATAAAAGTCAAAATTGTTTAACATCAAAATTGTTCAGAGGAATGATCAACATCCTATAATGCAATTTAAAAGCATAACTAATAAAAAAACATTAATTAGTGTTAAATTAGGAGTTGAACTCTTAATTTATGAATATTTACATATGCAATTTACATATGACAAATTATACTAATGTATTGACATAATCATAAGCTATTTTGCTTTTAAATAGGATTTTAAATACTGTTATGTGTGAAAAAATAATATAAAACGCCTTTATGGCAAGTCATTTCACTCGGTGGCCATATTTAAGATGCTGCTTGAATCTCTTTAAATGGGGAAATGTCAAATTTTCCAAAAACTGTTTGCTTATGGTTAAAGTTATTATTTGAAACCACCAGTGAAATTAGACAACCACTGTTTCCTAAATTTTGTTACCTAAGCATTAGAATAATGACTGAAATCTTGACGGAAACTTGAAGGCATCGAATGTTTCTAAAAGACGCAATCTGACGCAATAACTTACTTATTATCATCCACTGAATAATGCCGTATTTGATCAAGCTGCTCTTCTAAAGTAATTTACAATGTATCTTCAAGTCTTCCAATATGACAACAACCAATTGTTTACAATGTTGTGGGTGTTCAAGTGATTTGCTTTGGAATGTCTTTAATTCATTATATAAGACAAGACTTTAACTTGTGTTTGTTTCATACAGAATACAAAACCAGAGAACATTCATTTTTAAGTTTATTTAGTTTGTTTAAATGTAGAGATTTTAAGCATTATATAGATATATTTCTCATGAGGCAAGTATTCACTGAAATACCAGCACATTTGCTCTGACCCCAGATGAGTCATAACAATGAAGCTCCAGAAACTGTTATAAAAACACACGTCTGGACCAAGCCCCTCCCCTAGAGAATCATCAGTCTATAACAAACGATGATTGGCTTCTTTACATGAAGGCCAGGCTTCCTTTGTTAGAATGTCCATATTGATTAGTACATTTTCCCCCATTCAAAACTAAATGAGTGACATGTCTTGGATATTCTATAGTTTTTGCTTTAATGGCTCATAGGTCTGTGTTTGTACCTGTATTTCTGCACAAGTGCTCATGTGTCTACTGTATGTTTCAGGGAAGTGAGCTGTTTATGACGGATGAGGAGCGGTTGGCGGTTGAAGCTCGACATGAGCTGGACAGACAGGAGTTAATGCATCAGAAGAAAGTGGCATTAGAGACCAACAAAATTGTCAAAGAACAACAGGAGAAAGAACGCCAGTCAGTGGAAAAATTATGCTCTAAACATTTCTTCTTGATCATGCAAACACTGAGTACATTTACATGGACACCAATTCTCAGATTTTAAAGAGCCCATATTATACATGAAATAGGGTCATATCTTGGTTGTAAGGGTCTCCAACAACAGTTTAATATGCATGCAAGGTCAAAAAACACTTTCATGGTCTTATAATCTGCATTTATTTTTACCTAATTATCCCAGTGACTCCTGTATGAATCGTCCAGTGATTCATTCGTTCCCAAACCCCTCCTTAGCGCGAAGCTAATCTGCGCTGATTGGACCAATGACAGCCTGTTGCGATTCGTCGACTGCCTTCAGTCAGAGAGTGAAATGCCAAACAGCTAATCAGCAATATAAAAGTAATCACAGTTCATACACGCTCGATAGTGTAGGCGTGGAGTTTAGCTGCCAGTGGGTCAATGTAAATACAGACTATGGACTTGAAAATACAGACGACTGACTATTTTATTGAGCAAAAACTCCAAAAACAGTTGAGGAGATCTCCTAACTTCTCACTCTGCTCTTTTCACAGACACACACACACACACACACACACACACATATTGCACAAACACACACACGCACTTAACCCTGCTCCGGACAACGCGCGCACACACACACACACACACAAACACACACACCTCCGGACGACAGCGCGCGCACACGCACACACAGACACACACACTACTCCTCCTCCACGGAGCTCCGTTAACAAAGCAGCACGCGTCGCGTTTTTAACGTGACTTTGCACGCGATAAGAGAATATAGCCAGTTAACCTGATACAGTACACGCGGTTACAAGTAACAAATCACAACTAAATACATTTGCAAGCTAGAGTCAACGAGGCAACTTTAATCGCACGTACTTACACTTGAGAAATGGAGGAAGAAAAATCCATCCTGACGTCCAGCAGTAAGTTACTCTTTACTGATCCTTCCTTTAACAAACGCTGATGAAGTACTCTTTGTAGCATGTAGTTTCCAGAAGTTTCCAGTCGTTTCCAACTGCTTGGCTATAATGCTGAGGTTTCATCTTTGGGTAGAGACTCAATATATCCATCTGCAGTGTGACTTCAATCGACCGGCATGTTTGTGTGTGTGTGTGTGTCTGGGTTTCTTCGTCAGAGGGCGGGGCCTCAGGTTTGAAATCTCCCGGGTTTGCGCGTGCACGTGAATAACTTGGTTTCGTTCGTACGTCATGGCGAAACACCTAATGATTCGGTATCAAGGCGACTCGTTTGAAGCACTATGAGTCGACTCTTTTATAGGTAAATCAACAGTTTTAAACACTGTATTCTTACAGATTTAAGCCTTAGCTGGATACTTCACTTCACTTAGAGCTGTGTTACACACTACATGGGGGGGAATTTTCAAAAACCCATAATATGGGCTCTTTAATGCAGGGGTGATAGCGTTCCGGCACCACGCCGGATTTCCGGCGTACTGTGGCTGCGGGGAAAAAAAAAAATCAGGTTCACGGATATTGATCTGTCATTTCTCTAGATTCACAGAATTCACTCACTGCTGAAAGCGCCGGATTGGTTTTTATTAAGTGCCATTTTGTGTGCTCGTGAATCATCTTTTGAGTGTAGACGCCATGTAAATAAAAGATTAATTGTGTAATTTAGAGAGCTTTATAAATAAAACGGATCTTTGTGAGATCTCTATGAACTAAGATTAGTGACGCTTTTTAGTGATAATAAGAGGAGCGTGCTTTGCACTTTCCAGGCTATAATCCATTCAGAATTTGTATGAAACTTTCGTTTTCGGCACATATACGCTGATATGTTTTGGGAATGACATCTGCATATTTACGCTGGGTTTATTCTCGAAATAACGGTGAAGCAATAGACGGGACAAAAATATATTTCCCCCTTCTCCTTAAACAACTTAGTGTTTTAGCTATGAAATAGTTCAGTTTTGTATGTAGCCTAATGGCAAAGTGTTTATATTTAGTTTCATTTTTTATTCAGCTTATTTAGAAATACGTTTGGAGCATTTTTTATTCGTTAAAAATAAGTTTTTTTTAACGAACAGCTCCCAGCGGAAGACCATCATTGTCTGTTTGATCAGTTTGCCTTCTCAGATCATCACGACTTGCCTAAAATAAAAGATATAAAACAGTTAAAGTATAAAACAATGGTAGCTTAAACGTTAAAGAATGTGTGCTATTAGGCGCATAGTTTGCTTATAAAAAGCTTGCAGGACATCGAGGCGCCAGAGCAATCACTTGCATTTTTTCAGTGGGAGCAATTTAAAGTTATCCGTCATTTTTGCTCACAAAGTACGAGTAATACATCAAAAAACGTTACAGCGTTTTTATAAAATAAAGAAAACCAAAATGATGCGCTTTCTGTCGTCTGGTTTTTGAACAGGAGCGCTTAACAAAATGAAGCAAAATGTATATGCCTCACAGACATAATAAATATATTTATAGAAAGCTTTTAATTATTACTTAACGAAATAAAACAAATCGACAGAAATACACAACTCCTCCACGCGGCTCCAATTGCGTTTTGAGATATCCTAGATAGACTTTCTGGCTCGAAGACATTTATGCATGTTTATTTCATTGCTGTATTCTGACAGATTTCGCAAGGGTTCAGCAATTCTACCTGTCAGCTGGTACCAGCCTCAGTTTTGCGACTTGACTCGTTAGGCGTCTGTGTCTGGATGACAGCGAGAGAGAGAGATGAGATCAGACCTCAGATTTGATGTGTGGCCGCACGTCTCAGTTACTTTATTGCAATTTTTAATATTGACTCATCTAAATTAACTTTTCATTTATTAAAAGCCGAAATATTGCCAGACAGACGAAGCAACTTTCGGTTTTTGAAGAGAGCGTCCTCAGTGATAAAAGACGCGCGCACACACTGGTTAGCCCACTCTTTTGTCGGCCTATTCTTCATTGATTTTTTTTACATTAAACGCATAATAATCAATTGCAAAAAAAAGATAATTTATTATTAAACTGTGAGATGATGGTCGCGTGATTTTAAAAATCAGAGTATGCGTTGCGCATTTATGGCTATTGATCTTATCTACCCGGGACCCACACATAGTTGAACATCAAGTGTTGAAAATGAGTGTATAAACTAGTTGTGTTTCCTCCAACTGCTGCCACCATTGTCAGGCAAAGTTTGCAGATTGCCTCATTTACCTACGTCTTCAGGTTCTCTTTTTGCAAAATATAGCCAAACAGGCGCTTTTGCATTGCGTTTTGACACTTATCCGTCCGCCATTCTCTTTCTGTAAATTCGACTCCTCTTGTTCTCTTGATGTGATAAATGAAATATGACGCATTGTAGCTATGATCAGATGATAATTATAGTGCATGCTCTCATCTTAGGTAAATTATTTAGAATTATGTTTCCCATTTAATTCAAATAAATATTTAAATAATTAAAAAAAAAAACAATACTTAAAAAAAAAAACAAATGTGGGGACGGTGTCACGGTGAAAAAGTGATGTCACCGGTGTTGCGTCTTAACACCGGTATCACCGTCAACACCGTCTATCATGGCAAGCCTAACGTCCGGTTTTCCACTGTCATGTGTCACTCGCTAGTGGCATGTGTAGTGACCTGTGTCACTCAGAGTGTCGCGCTGCATGTCACTGCAGTGACATCGACACCCGGCGAAGCTTATGACATTAATTAACACGAGCAAAACCATATTTAATCATTACGCGACTTTTAACCTAATTTATCGCGTCGCAAGTTAGTTTATTTGCTGAGCTACTCCACGATGTTTTAATTTAAACGCATTTATTTTATGTATTCGTAGTCATACTTCCGTACGTAATATAGTCATTTGACAGCACATGTCAGTCAAATTTATTGTGGCATGCTTATGTATGGGAGGGGTTACACTTATCTGTTGTACTGTATATTATTGCATCCTGGCAGTTCCTTTGTTCCCTACAATATGGACTTCTCTATGTTTTTAATTCATTCATTTATTTTATTATTTAACTTATTTTCATTTAAAGGTATTTTAAATAATATCCTTTAAAAAGTTATAATAAAATGCATGTTGAAAACTCATAACATATATGCATGTAAGATAACAGGTGTCATTTGCCTAATGATTTCTAAATATTAAAGCAAAGAGACTTATAAGATTAATGTGCTTATAACGTGCTTATACTGACACCTACTGGCACATGTCACAAGATCACTGACACTGGCATGTGTCACTGACATTACTGGCATGTGTCTAAAAAGAGCCACTTGACAATAATGATGATCAGGGTTACACATCGGCTGTTAATATATTTGGGCCCAGGGGCCCACAAGTTATGTGTTAAAAGTGCGTTGCGTACATAGTACATCCACCCCTACTCACCTCAGGGGCAAGGAAAAAAAGTTCAGGCTCAGGAATTTTTTCCACTATCAGCCCTGTTAATGTCATTAAGACAATACTCAGATTAGGAGTCTGCCATGTAAACAGTGATTTTTTATTACCTTAATCTAACTAAATCATAATGGAACTAAACAGAAATCGAAGTTAGACACATGGAGTATGCATATTTAGACTTATTATTAAAGTGCTGGACAAACATGTAAACACCTTAATCTTTTAGCTGCATTTGGTGACAGGATATTCCATACACACACAACTGTTTGATACTATTCTCTGCACCCATCAAGTCAGTAAAGAACCACAGACACCTGCATTGTGAAACAAGGAAGTTTTTCTTTCTGTTCACTGTGTGGGAATCAAATTCCATTGAAACAACACTCTTCCACTAGTACTTACTTCATAATACAATACCTCACTTTGTCACAGGGCATGAATGAAATTTTCCTAAATGAAAATAAAGCTGCCAAAATCCAGTTAAAATAGATTTTTCTTTTTAAATGAAACACACAAAATTATATGAAACTAATGATGTTAACTGATCTATGTGCTATAACATGTAAAACGGGATCCTGAAATGAACTTTCAAATGCAACTCGTGTAAACATCATAATCATATTATTGTCTTATTCAGATTAAGACAAATAATTAGATTACTGATGTCCATGTAATCATAGTCACTGAATTTGGCTTATTCTCTGATCCATCAGGGGTCCCACAGTGGAATAAACCACCAATTACTCTGACAAATGTTTTATGAGGCAGATGCTCTTCCAGCTGCAAAACAGCACTTAGTATACCAACATAGGCTCATTCTGAAAACGTAGCCCCATATACATTTTTGGAGATCACAAATGATGTAGCCAAAGCATGTGGCTGCATTTTGTTGTTAAAACAACTGCTCCGGCGCTGTGTGACGCTGTTCTTTTTTGCGCTTACCAACTAACTGCTTTTCTCCGAATAGACAGTTTTTCAGCTGTTACCAGTTTGTCCAGTAGCTTGCCAAGTATGTCGGCGGACTTGAGATGCAGAGAGCAGTTGACCACAATTATGGGGTTTGAATACGGCGAGAAACAGTTCCAGAAATCGGATAAGTCAAAAACAGAAGCCAAAAAGTAAAATAAAAAAGTAAATAACAGGGTAAGAATGTGGTAAAATCTGAAAACATGGTAAAAAAAAAGGGGGGCTTTTTTTTCTGGGTTGCTTTTTAGAACTGTCAGGTTTTGGGAAGTGGGTGGGCGCTGGTCAATTGGTGCTTTTGAAAACACTATTGGTTGGGTTTAGAAAAGGAGGAAGGTAAGTCAGTCTGTCAGTCGACAGCGGCCCTTAGTGGATTTACGAAAATAAAAACTGAAAAACAACGTATGTCCTGGGACTCTCTTGTAATGTATATAGTGTTACGTTTTCAAAATGATCCTGGGTTGGAGAGAACACTACCTCCTGAACCCTCAATGCTGGAAAACACCCACAAAATCTCCCTTTCACACACATACTCAGACGGAGTCAATGTGAGTGTCCCACTTACGGTCCTGAGAGATGGTATATGTATGATAACAATGCACATAAACATCAAATATTTACCAAAATAAACACAAAAATAGACAAAACAGTAGCTTTTATGGCTTCTAGTGCAAAGTACTGAAACTATATTGTAGTTAATAGGTTTTTAGTATTTAAAAGGAACCCTGAGTTTTAAGATTTTGTGGCGTCATATAAATCATACTAAAATAAGTTGGAGAAAGATGTATGTTGTTTAAAAAAATAATATTAATTTTGAACTATGAGGTTATTAAAAATCATATATCATAGGGCTCCATTTTAATAGAGTTTGTCAGATATTTAAGGAATTTGCCACCATGATATTTCACATGTCACTAATGTACTTAAATTCTTATTTATTATTTTATTTTCAATAATAACTTAATATATCATAATTGTAATATTTTTATTATGATTCAGTTTTATATAACTTCTCAATTTAATCAGTTTGCTAGAAGCATAGCCACTGGTGAAAAAAATATCATTAAAATTTCTTCATGAAAAATGTATCAGTTTTATTGATTATATTGGTTTTTGCAGGAGGAAGATGGAGATATCTCAGAAGGCTGCAGAGGAAGAAGAGCGCTATCGCAAAGAGATGGAAAGGTAACACTTGTGCCATCCTGCCAAGCAATATCACCTTCAAAGTAAATAGACCTCAGAAGGCAGACTGGAGTAAATTGATGATGATGAAAGCAATGCTCTGTGGGATGCAGTCTGTTCGATATTTCTTAGGTCACCTCTAATTTTCACAACCCTTGTTTTTATTCAGTAGAAATTGGTTACAAATGGTTAGTAATGAATCCATCATTGAAAATGTATCTAATTTATCAAAATGCATTTAATGTGAAATGAATAGTTCACCCAAACATGAAAATTACCCCATAATTACCTCTCCCTCAAGTCATTCGCTGTGTATGACTGTTTTCCATCTGACAAACACAGTTGGAGTAGTTTAAGATTGTATTCTGGCTCTTCCATGCTGTATAACGGTGTTAGAAAGAGGCTTTTATTTTGAAACTTAAACCTAATAAATCCATCTATAAACTAACCTATAAGCCACGTAGGGGTTAATTCATGTCTTATAATAAAGCCGTGTTTTTGTAACAGAAATATTTAACATTTTAAAATTGGTAATTTTTACTATTCCTTTAACTCCAGAAAGGATCTGCTTGTTGCAAAATTCTGAAAATGTAGCCCTATATACGTTTCTGATATCAGGATATATTTAAAAAATACTATTGTTTGGGTTTAGAGAAGGAGTAGGGTGGGTCAGTTGGTCGGTCAGTTAGTTATTCAGTCAAACAGACAGTCAACATCGATCTCTGGTGGATTTACGTGAGAACAGCAGGCGAGAATGACACTTGCGGGAGAAATTTAAGATCTCAAAAAGCGTACACAGCGGCCTCTGGTGGATTTGCGAAAACAAAAACTGCAAAGAAACATAGCTCCTGGGATGTATTTGGCGCTCTCCAGAAATGTATATAGCGGTACGTTTTCAGAATGATCCTGGGATGACTTTTTGTTTACATTTTCTTGATTGAGTTGAGATTCGTTTTTAAATATCTCAACAAGAAATCTCCTCAGGATATGACTCTGACTGTCCATTTTTTTAAATCCATGTGTCATGTCAGAATTGAAGCTGCAGAGAAGAAACACCACAAAGAGTGGGAAGATGATTGGGGCTCCAAGGAAAAAAAAAAATCTGTTTCCCCGGCCGCTTCTCCATCCCCTCCACCACCCACACGTCTTGCACCTTCACCCAAACCTAAAACCTCCAGTAAGTTGGCAATACCTATAAAATCTCCTCAGTGCATTATTATTAAAGTGCTAGTTCACCCAAAAATGACAATTGTGTTATTATTTACTCTCATTTCGTTCCAAATCTCTAAGACCAACATTCATCCTCTTTTTTTAGATGAAATTTAAGAGCTCCCTCATCCTCCAAAGACAGCAAGATTCCTGACTCATTCAAAGTCGAGAAAATACAAAAAAATAAAAATAAAAACATAATCTAAACAGGCCAAATGTCTTCAATTGGGATATTGTCACGTTACGAGAATACTTCTGTGTGCACATATAAAAATATTTTTCGATATATGGCGCATATTCATGTGTTGTGCTGGGTTATGCCATTGACATGCCACCTCGGATGTGCCTGTGCCTTGTTTTCAAACAAAGGAAGTGTCATATAGGCACATAAATGTTACATCTGTGCACATTAATTATTAATTTGCGCAATATACTCTTACTGAGGAGAACAAACTGTTGATTAAACTCATTAATTTTGTTATATCCATGCAAACAAGTATTTCCGTAGCTTGATAATATTCCAATTGAACCACTGAAGGCTTGTGGTCTGTTTTGAGGATATTTTTTGGTTCCTTTCTGCACTTCTGGAAAAAAAGTTGTGAACCTGAAGTTGTTTGGAGAATGACGGAGCTCTTTATGTGACATATGGAAGTAATAATTATTACCATAATTAAAATTTTTGGGTGAGCCAACCCTTAAAATACTCATAGTACACAGATATCAAATCCAGTTCTTCAGGGCCACAGCTCTGCACAGTTCAGTTCCAACCCTGATTTGTAGGTTTCAAACTAGCTTGAAGGATTCAATTAGTTTGATCAAGTGTGTATAATTAGGGTAAAGTTAAACTGTGCAAAGTTGAGGCCCTAGGGGAAATGAATTTGACACCTGTGCCTAAGTAGAACAACAATATTACCGTATACATGATAGGCACGTTTCCACTGAGTGTTACGGTACAGGTTGGTAGGGGTCACATGTATCAGGCTTGCGTTTCCGCTGCCAAAAGGGTGCCAATGGTGGGTATGGTGTACGACAAAAAGTTTCAGTCTACGTCATTCTCGCTTGAGGAAATGTCAAAGTAATCATATCACATAAAAAGCACTTCTTACAAAACAGATGCTCGTGCTTTAGACGGCCTTGTAATAAACTACGGGGCACAGGGTAGATTTAGCTTTTTTTATTGGCTTTGTGGCTGTTCATCAAGACGACGACAAGGCTTGTTCAAGCTCAGGTCGACCATGGCTCATTATTATATGTGTATATTATTACGGTGTAATGTCTCAGCTGTGTATTTAAAAATGGCGCTTCCATTGTTTTATTCTCCTAGCTTGTGCATGAGCTAATGACGTATCGCTGTAAACCAATAGCGTTCAGCTGCATGTCTTGCTTCACCTTTTGGTACCCTTTTGTTGTGCTAGGTAGCTTTTCAAAAGAATACCCAAAAAGTGATACAATACGGTTCGTTTTGGTACTTTTTGATAGTGGAAATGGCCATAAAAGCATACCGAACCGTACCACTCATCGGAAACGGGCCATCAAACGTGGTCAAACAAGCATGTTACCCTTGATGTACACAAATATTACTACTTTCTCCTCTGCATGAACAGATGTGCATTCTTTTTGAGAATGCACCATCTTTTTTTTTCTGTGTGTTTTCCTTTCTAATTTGCCTTTCTGGTGTGCCTTGTCTGTCACTTTCTGATACCATCAGCTGCTGATTCCTACGAAGAAGAGACCGGAGAAGTAAGTAAAGGATTCAGATAGCTTTACAAGACTTCTTTTCGGTTGCCTTCACTTTTTTCATAACATTTAAACTGCATGTAGACTATCATCCATCTAATTTTGTTAGGTTGGATCTTTTGGTAGCTTTTCTAAGAATGAATAATTTAGAATGCGCCATATCCTGATTGAGTTTGTGTCTGTGACTTAATGTGTCGCCTTTGCTGTCTTAGCATTCGGTTGGTTCTACCGTTATGAAGGAAAGTTGCCTACACTCAAAAAGGTACTGCAAGCATGGTGTGCTGGTTTGGTGTGCTATAACAATAGAGTTTTTTGTTAATCTTGGAGATATGTCTGAGGTTGTTGTTTGCTTGGTAGTTGAGTTCAAGTCAATTGGATATTCTTTAAATCCCTTTGGATATTTAGAAGGAAAAAGAAACCAAAAAGAAGAAGAAGATGTCCAAGACTGACACTCTTCCAACTGAGAAAAAAAGCAAAAAAGAGATGGAGTTTGAGTTGAAACTTGCAAAGGAGAAAGAAGAAATACTTGAGCGAGAGAAGCAGATGAAAATCAGCAGGCTTCTGCAAGAGGTATTTGATTCCATCAAGTGAGGTTACAGTAGGGTTTCTAGACTTTTTTTTTAACGTATGCAATTGATTCAATCTTTTTGACACTCTGACCTTCACTAATATTTGTTGCACCCTTCCCAGTAGGGCTGGGACAATAAATCGATGCATTTGAAGTCAAGAAATTATTCTTTATCGATTCTGGAATTTTAGGAATACATGATAATTCTCTCTTGAATCGATTCTGAGCTTACTTTTTACCACCAAATAAATCTTTATTCTTTACAAACTAGCTGCCACACTGCCAATCCTGACACACCTGCTTGAACGTAAAACAATCATTAAAGAAGTCAACGATTGATGAAATTACAGAATTAAATTACAAAAGTATCCACAGTGGGCGGTGTTTACATTATTCCGATGGGAAAAAAAATCTGTGTCGCACCAATTGCTGTTTGACTCACAGGTTGTAATTTGAGTTTTTCTCAAGGAGTACCACATAGATGTGGCTTTTACTGATTGCAGTGATTAATAAGGAGGAAAGAGAATGAGACCACTCACAGTACATGGCTGAAAGCACAAGCACACTTCTTTATGTTACAAACTAAGCTCAGAATCGATTCCTGAAAGAATCGCAATGCAATCCAAAAGTCTAAGGGTGGATCCATGAATCACAATACATCGATTCATTGTCCCAATTCTAATTTCCAATGCCAGTCCAGCAAGTTCTCAATGGTATCAAAGGTTCCATGCTGTGGCTGTGGCTTTACTTATCATCTAGGTGTCAGAAACTGAGAGGGAAGATTTGGAAGAATCTGAGAAAGTGCAACACTGGGTGGAGAGGCTCTGTCAAACAAGACTAGAGCAAATCTCCTCGGTAGAAAACGAGTCTCCAGAGGTAAAGTCTACCACTCAACATCCCAATGTGTTGGTCTTGTTACTCACAGGTTGATAGATCAGATTTCTAAGTATTTAAAGTATACCCTCAGATGTCTCCAACACGCTCCCCGGCGTCGACTGGTCCCACCAGGCGGAGGTTCCCTGGTGGCTTGACGTTGGCCACTACTGATCTTGATGACATCAACTTAGATGATGTGGATCAGAGTCTAAGGCAGCCTTTAAAAAGATTAGCCCCAACTCCACCTACATCCAATCAACCTCCACCTCCCTTACCTCTCCCTCCACCCTCACCCCGACTTTACCATTCAAACACCCATCGACCCCAATCTCCAAGATCACAGCACCCAATGCAGTCCAGGCCAGCACCTCAACGTCCACCTTCCCCACCAGCTTCAAGGGTGCCCCCTTCCTCAATCGGTCGTAGCCGGCCACCCCCTTCTGCCCCACTATTCTCCTCCAGGGGTCTATCCTCATTTCAGCCACCGCCCCCTCCCCCACCACCCCCTCCACCACCACCTCCTCCACCACCACCTCCCCCACCCTTGCACATGGATGATAGGTACCATGCAGGGCCATCTAGTTATCCCCGCTCCCCAAGCTTATCTGAACAAGGAAACAGGTTTGGGGACAATGGTACCTGGCATAGAGGAGGATTCCACTCCAATGTTCCCAGCGAACTTTCACGCCCTCCCAGCCCAAAGGTTGATCATGATTTGATGGTTAGCATAGTCAGCATGTTTTTCAGAGTGAGAGTTGATTGCATGTGTTGAATAGAGGTCTTTAGTCACGTTTTATCTAAGTAATGCATGGGTATTGCTATTTTCAACAAGGTAGTGCCAATGTTGCTTATGCAATATTGAGCGAATGCAAATCCTGTGTACTGAAATCTTTTTGCCATTCTTCTTGCTGTTACCAGTCTTTGTGGATATTCAGATGCATGCAGTTTTTTGTGTGGAACTGGTCTCAGGCTGAATATTGCAGTCTGCCATCAAAACATTTACTTATAATTGATTTAGACTTATGGTGACGCAGTGGCGAAGTAGGTTGTGCTGTCGCCTCACAACAAGAAGGTCGCTGGTTCGAGCTTTGGCTCAGTTGCCGTTTCTGTGTGGAGTTTGCATGTTCTCCCTGCGTTCGCGTGGGTTTCCTCCGGGTGCTCCGGTTTCCCCCACAGTCCAAAGACATGCGGTACAGGTGAATTGAGTAGGCTAAATTGTCCGTAGTGTATGAGTGTGTGTGTGAATGAGTGTGTATGGATGTTTCCCAGAGATGGGTTGCGGCTGGAAGGGCATCCGCTGCGTAAAAACATGCTGGATAAGTTGGCAGTTCATTCCACTGTGGCGACCCCAGATTAATAAAAGGACTAAGCCGACGAGAAAATGAATGAATGCATGATTCAGACTTGTGGTGGATTTATTTTTTCCTTTTTTTTTTGGTTGTGCACACACACATGTACTGTTTGCATAGCTTGAGTGTGTTGATTTGCAGATGAAGTTTGTTCAAATACTGACCATCATTTTCAGTAAAATGCATGCTGTCTTGCGATTTGATTATTTTGCCAACACAATGACTATACAAGAGTACTGAAAATCTAATCCTGTGGCCCAGGTGATGAGAAACACATCTCACGCTAGCAGGATATCCACTTCTAATAATACTCTGGTGAGTCCTGTAAATGATTCATGCTGCACTGGAACTGTGTCTTCATTTTACAGGACAAATCAGTCTTGCTGCCCTCGTGTAACATGCACTGCTAGCTTAATTTGCAGAGAAAACTTTTCATCCACCCTTAAGAAACAAGTAGCGTACTTCAAGTTCATTTTATGAAGTATACTTACTTGAAGTATATCTTTAAGTGTATTTCATATTGTAAGTATACTATTTACTAGTATACTTGTTAGTGTACTACTTGAATACCACTTGGATTAAAATCAGCTAACTTTTTCTATATACAAGTATACTTTTATGTGAACTATATGTCTAACAGTAGTACAAAGTGCACAAATAGTAAACAATTAGGTTTTTCATTTGCATTGCAAATTTGAACGTATGGCTGTAGTTTACTTTTTGAGTGCCTTCTGGACTTTGCTGATAACTTTAATTTTTTATGTGAACTCACAGTTTAAATATGAAACCTGCCACTCTATAACTTTATAGGTTAAATCATGCCCTGACTTTTAGTTTGTGTCCTGTACTGCTAACCTCTGCGTAGCAAATAGCCCCCAGCCCTCCAACCCAGCGGAGACAGATCAACCCAGTCATGTCTAAACCAGTCATGCTACCAAGTCAGATCTCGCACAGACCCACACTTCGTTCTGAGACCATGGTAAGATGTCAAATATTTGTGTGACTATGATGGTGATAATAATAATGCATGCGTAAGCTTCTAGGTCTTCACAACTGTGACTCATTGGTTTGTGGTTTATTTGTTGTGCCAGTTGACAGAGATTGTAATTTGAGTTCTTCAAGCTCAAGGCATACCGGATAGATGTGGCTGTCCCTGATTGCAGTGATTAATAAGGGTTTTTCTTGTCTGGGTCTGTACATAATGAGACCCTGAGCATTAAAACGTCTTTGATCAACCTGATGTCCCCATCCACCATTAGACATTCGGTTCTGCACCATCAGATGACAATAGAACCTAATCGCTTTGCCCTGTCCTTGTCCCTCCTTAATTAAATGAATGGGCGCTTGCCAATCCAGTGCTTATTTCAGGAGGGTAACAAGAAGGGTAAGAGAGGACAAGACCTTGCTGCCTAGAGATGTTTCTTCAGACTTCATTTATTATCGTTACTGGTGTTTGCTAGGATTATAGATTTAAGCAAATCCCCTAACCCCATGTATTTATTTATTTTTAGTGCATTGTTACAACCCCAAATGTCTAAGGCTGAGGTTGAACATAAGTTAAAGAAAATAAACAAACAAACAGTTAGCAGGTTATGATTTAATGTACTTGTATATTTAACAGATAATTTTACTGAGGACATCACAGAATGTTTATCAGATATCACATGCATATCAATTAATAATTCAATGTAATAATTCACTACTATTTACATCATTATTTACAATTGTACTTAATTACTTTTCTAATTACTTTGTCTGAAAAGTAACTTAGTTACACATTAAGTAGTTTAATTACTTGACTCAATACAAAAACATCCACATAAATCTCAGTTCATATAAAGTTGAAGTCAGAATTATTAGCCCCACTTTGAGTTTTGTTTTTTCTTTTTTGCAAATATTTACCAAATGATGTTTAACAGAGCAAGGAAATTTTCACAGTATGTCTGATAATATTTTTTATTTCTGGAGAAAGTCTTTTTTGTTTTATTTTGGCTTGAATAAAAGCAGTTTTTAATTTTTTAAACACCACTTTAAGGTCACAAATTATTACCCTCTTTAAGAATTTTTATTTATTTTATTTATTTATTTATTTATTTTTTTTTTATAGAGCTTGAGAGGTACGCAAAGAGGAATGGGCAAAAATTCCCAAAGAAAGGTCTGCCAAGCTTGTGGCATCATATTCTAAAAAAACTTGAGTCTTTAATTGCTGC